TGGGGAGAGACTTTGTATCTATGTAGCCAATTTAGCTTAGGGCCGTAAGCATTGAAGAGATAACCAAGTATATTACAGTATTATTAGACGTGTTATTTACAGCGATATATACAAGATCGTTATTTATTTATTTATTTATTCATTATCGTCTCTCTTCCTCTTCTTTCGTCTAAAGCCACCTTTTATATTCTCATTCCATTCCTTAACTCTTGATATAAAAATGAAGTAATTTACAAATATGAAGTAATAGTCGTAAGATAAAATGTAATAATATATAGCTAATGGTTATGTAATGTGAAAGGATAATAAATATGAACAAATTAATATGTAAAAATGTAGTAATCAACGCTGGGCAGTTCGATCGACGAATGTAGTCATAAAAATGTAATTATCTTACTGCGGTAATACATTCGTCGATCCAATTTTACAAAAATTTACGTAACACTATCGTCTCGCAAGCCACTTTCTACTAAAAAACCCAAGTTGTGACTGCCATCCCGACAGACCACTCTTACTACAACAAAATCAAAATGTGACTGTCGTCTGACAGGCCACTTCTACCACGACAGACTCCAAATATGCCTGCCGTCCTAACAGATCACCTTTACCTCAAAAAACTCCAGAACTCCAACTGTGACTGTCGTCCCGACAGGCTACTTTCTATTACCAACTCAAAGACAACTGCTGTCAGGTAGGTCTTGGATCCTCCTTTCTGGCAAAAACCCGAAAGTATCTGTCCTAAAAACTGATGCTTTCCAAAGCCATTGTAAATCTCAAGGGGGCAGAGTGAAAAAAACCCAGATAATTCTTTTATGACTGTCCTCCCGACAGTCTATGTAGAAAACATAAGATATTTCTCTGTGACTATCATCTTGATAGGCCGCCTTCTGTATACATACAAAAAACCCAAATATTTCTGCAACCGGCTATACAACTAACAAGAAAACTTCATTGTGACTGTCGACCTGATGTGCCACTCTGTCGTCCTGATAGGCCACTTCTATGTAGAAACATCAGAAATTTCTTTGCAGTTATTGTCTTATCAGGCTGTTCCTATATACTCAAAATAAGAAAACTCCTCTGTGACTGTTGTTCTGACAGGCCACACAACTAATCAAGAAAACTTCATTGTGACTCGTCTCTACAGGGCCACTCCCTTGCCCTGAAAGTATCTGTTCTAAAACTGATGCTTTCTAAAGCTATTGTACATCTCAAGAGGGCGGGGCGAAAAACCCAGATCATTCCATCTGAAAAAAGCCCAAGTTCCCTATGATTACTTTAATACTAAAGATGAGTGCAATGAAAAGCCTGCGATAAAAAACTTTCATAACTGTCATCCCGGCAGGCCATTCCTATATATAAAATATACGACATTTCTCTGCAACTGTCATCTCAATAGACCGCCTTTCTATATACGCAAAAACCAGACAATTTCTCTGTGACTGTCATCCCGACAGGCCACACCACTACCAAGAAAATTTCATCATGACTGTCATCCTGATGGGCCACTCCTAGAATGAAATACACTACTGCCTTCTAACAGGCCATATACTATCAAAAATCAGCTAATAAAAGACCTGTGATAAAAATCTTTCGTGGCCGTTGTCCTGACAGGTCACTCCTATATAGAAAACATCAGAAATTTCTTTGCGGTATTGTCTCCTATATACTCAAAATAAGAAAATTCTCTGTGACTGTTGTACTATTGCTCTGACAGGCTCACTCCTAAAAAGCAAAATATATGACTGTCGTTCGACAGGCCATAAACTTATGCAATCTCAGTTAAAACAATAACATTAACCCAATGGGTCCTCAAATAGAAACCTTCCAGGTGTTACACGAGGGTCGGGTAGGGTGGGGCGAAAAAACCAGACAAAGTCGGGTTAGCAGAAAAACAGAAGCTACCTTTTCTTTAAACAAACCTGTTCCTCTTAAATACTGACTCAACGCTTACTAATTCATAACATCATATAAGAAATCACAGCAATATATCAAACAAAATCATACAATAAATCACTACAATGCATCAAATGGCACAATCATATCATAAATCACGATCATGCATCAACAATTACTTACAATACACCCATGATCGATTCGGGACAAAATGCTGCTCCGATACTTTCGTATCGGGCAGCTAAAGATTCGGAATCATGCGCATGAATGCGTATTAATGCGCATGAATCCCAATCATGCGCACCGCATGAAACCCATCTCTAAGTTTGTAAGTATAAAATTTTTATTAACCTTCATATTGAATTTACAATTTATGCATATTTATTTATATCATAATATTTATTTGTGTTAATTTAGTCTGTAAGTCTAAAGATCATCTACTTGTCTCATGGTAAATGAAAATGGTTCAAATAAATACATGAATAGTTCTCAAATCAAATCAAAATTGAGTTTCAATCAAATGATTTGATCAAGTCAAATATTTTAAACATTTGATTAAACCTCGAATTTTGCTTGATTTGGAGGAACACTATCTATGAAAGTCATCTAGTGTTGTCAATTAGAATGATCCAATTAAAATTTAATTAGAATATGGAACAAATGGAATTGGCCAAGGTCCAAATAGAATCCAATTAAATTATAGTAAATGGCTAATGTAAAATATTAAATGGGAGTATTTTAAGATAAATTCAATAAAATCTTTTTATTTAAATTCTATAAGATTACAGAATTTAATTAAAAAATTTTTATCGAATTTGATTTGGTGGTTGTCGAAGATATGAAAAATTTTGAGCAATTTCTATTTTAATAAGCATTAAAAGTTTTTAAATCTTGCAAACCTTTTTTCAACAACCATTTAGCCAGATTTATTAAAAACTTATTTATTATAAAAAATTTTATCAAATTTGGTCAAATATATTTATTATAATTGCTTTTAAAACTGTGATTTGATATAAAGTGCTCATGTATTCTATGAATTACGTAAATCGATTGGTTCAAATAAGGTCCATTCCATACGTTCCATAAGTCCATTAATTTAAAGCTACACCACTGGAGTCATCTAAATTTGATCAAACAACCGGATTATTTGCCATCCATATTTCATAAAAGACAATTATTAACACCATATCTTTTATATAATTTAGCTTGTGAGTATACAAAATTTATTAATACGTGCATTTTAATTTATGATTATACGTTCATTAAACAATATTTCATTCATGTATATTTCATTCATATTTTAGTGCGTAAGTATCAAATTATTAGTCTATTTATTGATTTAGCAAAAGGAAATAAACAATGTCTAATTCCTGAATTCGTGTTGATTTAGTGCGTAAGTACAGAATATTTTAGTAATCTACATTTTAAATAAGCAAATTTATTATCATATATATTAAAAAGCCTGCTTGTGTTAATTTAGTCGGTAAGTATAAAAAATATGTTACCTAAAATCTTAAATTCTCAAAAATTATAATTATATGAACCATCAATATATTATTTTTTATTTACGATCATGGAGGGATGCTGTTTATGGAAAATGTAAACATTGCAACGAATATAAAGCATGGTGCTTGGCATGTGACCCCGACATTACATTACAAGAATGGACAAGTGAAAATTTTGATATTGATAATTGCATTAAGGAGTTTCAGCTTAAAACCACTGCATACGAGTACATGATTGAATGGATTCCATTTGATAGATTAAATGATATTGCAGCAATAGGAGAGGGGGATTTGGAACCGTATTTTCAGCAACCTGGTTAGATGGCATACGAAAAATTGATGGCATAGATTACAATTACATAAGAACGCGTGAAGAATCATATAAAGTTGCACTCAAGACCTTTTCCGATGCTAAAGGGAACTCAACTAATTGTTTAAATGAAGTGTTAACTACCCTTTATTGCATAACTTGTTTATAAAGTCGTTTATAGTACTAATTCATTTATATTAACCAATTTACAAGTTTGAAAATTGTATTAAATGTATATTGCCTGGTAGAGGGCTTCAAATTTATGGATTAACACGAAATACACACACTAATGAATTATATATGGTATTTCAATATGCGGATGGCGGAAATATTTACACATTTTTTGAGGTCAAACTTTCATAACCTTACATGGAAGTTTAAATTAAAACAACTCATGGATATTTCACTTGATTTATACAGAATTCATACAGCAGAGTACGTTCACGCTGATTTTCATATCGGAAAGATCCTTCAAAATAAAGAAAATACTTACGTCTCGGACCTAGGACTTGCTATAAAAGCAAATGAAAATCTGTCAAAAGGTAAAGTTTATTGTGCCCTGCCCTATGTTGATCCGGAAATTTTATGTGGGAAGCAAGAACAGTTTACACAATTGTCTGATATTTATGGCTTTGGCGTTGTTATGGCAGTAATGTAAACTGGACAAAGACCTTTTGATGGCCATAGATTTAATTCGTCTCTTATAATTGGAATTTGCAATGGATTGCGGCCAGAATTTGCTCCTGGAACTCCTAAATGCTATATTGAATTGGCAAGTAAATGTATGGATCGAAATCCAGAGAATCGACATACTGCTCATGAGATTTACGAAAAGTTCAAGGAATGGCATATGATGTTACAAAATCCAAAGGATACGAGTGAAATAAAAAATGAATTCTTGGCTGCAGATAAGATTATCGAAACATTACCACTTAACTCGCAAAAGCACCCAGATCACATGTACACTTCTAAGCTCATCACCACTTCAAAACTCACCACCACAAAACAACCAAATGCTTTTAGCATTCCATTAGTGTGGAATCACTCTTAAGTCATTAAAAATACAATTCTTAATATTAAACAATTATGTTGGATTTTTTAGAAATTTTAAAACTGGTCCTCTGCAGAGTTACGGCAATATTTTGTTTAGTTCTTTATCATTATTGCAACTACAGAATTTGATATTGTATGTATCAAGTAAATATTTGCAAAATTTATAAAATTTATTAGTCCAGAAAAGCAAACTTTCTATAGTTTATAAATATTTGCATAAATATATTCTGTTTTACTAAATCACACTGTTTGTATTAATTTCAAATATCGGGCCTCTATCTTTATTTTGGGAATTATTTTCGTTTTTGGGCCTTATCTGTAAATTCCCCTTTAGCAATGACAAAAAATTGTTTAAGTCATGTAGCTATTGATAAAATTCTTTAAATTCGCTCATGTGTTTATATTAGGTTAGATGTTAACAAGATATAACGTTGGTTGAAAATTTTTTTGTTAGACACGCGAGGTGCAAAAATACCATTCCTGATAGATCGTCGGTACTGTTCCTGATAGGGTAGGAAAAAAATTGATTTACATACCATTCCTGATAGGGTTCTAAAAGAGCCTCTAAAACACTATACTACTATAGTGAAATATACTTAGGATTAGGTTCAATTTTAGAACCATATCAGGAACAGTAATCAAATAAATTTTTTTTTTAAAACTCCATCAGGATCGGTACTGCCGATCCATCAGGAATAGTAATTTTGCCATAAGAGGTGATTTTTTATACTAAATTTTTTGTTTCCAAAACGAATGTACGTGTTATATTGCACTAAATTGTACATACTTACGTATGTTATATCTTTTGCTACATTTTGCAATCGCAGTAAAAATTTAATATAATTGATAATATATGACTACGCAACCAAACAGTTAATTGAAGTCAAATAATTGCCTCCACAATCAATTATTCAATACGCCTGAATTCAGACCACTTGCAGTTAACTCTCTAAGTTCAATTCGTTGGGACCAGACTTTCAGCAGCATGTATTTAGGGAACAATTAAGAAAAATTGCATTTATAAAGACCAAACACATACTTGGGCCGGAATTTGAAGTTACATTTAGAGAGAAGCTGCACTTAAACGGTATCGAAAATTTGAATGTGCAAATTAGAGATGGGCAAGGTAATTTACTTATTATGTAAAAGTTAAATCACTCTATGCGACAATTTAGTATGTCATTAGTTGTAAATTACTCATCTCTAATGTAAATTCAAGCGGGTTGCAAAGTTTTGAAATCAACTAAGAAATGACTCATCCGGATATCGGAGTATTTTTAAGAAACCAAAAATCACCTAACAATCGAGATTTTTTAGTGATTTCTTTTTTTGATGATCTGCTAACCGCTATAAATTTCGTATAAAAGCAAATTTACAGAGTTCAAAACTTCCAATTTAGACGATTAATGTAAGGGATAAGAATTTTAAAAATTTTGAATTTATTTAGTATTCACCAGAGTTGAAATTCACCACGATATGTTTTTATATGATCCATAGAAAATTTTACCACAAAACTTTAAAACAATAAAACTTTAAGGGTAGGGTTCAAGGTTAAATTAAAGTAGAGTTAAGGTTTTTTAGGGTGAACATTTTTAATTAGTATATCAAATACTGCCGTTTTTGAAGCACAACATACTCGGTGCAGGTGAGCGTTAAAATCGTAAAGAAATCTTTAATCTTAATATAAACAACATTTAACCCCTCGCATAGCACAAGTTAATCTGCTGCTCTTAATATAATAAGAAAACATTATAAAATATAAAGTAAAAGACTATA